GGAGAGCGCGACAAATATAATTTTATGTTACAGCGAAAGTTATAATAATATGCCCACTCTCTGTACCTGATCGTAAGCGGGATGTTCTGCAACTTCCGGAAGTAGACATCCTGTTGTTTCATCTTATCCTTCCGGATCCGGCGCATGTAAGCAGACGCCACATGTTGCTGATGCTGGCATACCAGACGATTCATGTCAATGGCGGCAGACGGCCCGAACAGGCGGGGAATTTCCTGGAAGTTTTCTGGCTTGAACGTCTTGCTGTTGTAAGCGCTGATGATCTCAGCCAGGCCTTTGCTTTTCTTATTCATTGTTGTTGGTGATGAAGAGGGAAACGTTTTGAATTGTTGTCGTTGTTGTTGTTTTTAGAGTATGATGGGATGGGTGATATTTCCTGCGAAAGAAAAAGAGAGTAAAAAAATGTTAAATGATTAATACACGTATTACATAATCCTGAGGGAGGCTACCTTCTTCTTCTGCGTATCCCTTCTAGAGCTCAAGGAGTTACTAACTGTGATATTTTCATCTCACAGTCACAGTGCAGTTCATTTTACGTACCGTACGCATATATATATACGTAACAACTTTGTCCGTATAGAACTACAATGTATTAGAACAGAGAATCACCCCTTCCTTCACAGCGACAGGCGGCCTTGGGCTGTTTTCTAAGGTGCTTTTAATAGCTTAATACTGACTGTAGAGCGGCTTCAGTTTTTGGGTATAAATTGATTTTAAATTTTGTCCCGGCGGTGGCGAGTGTGGAGTGTGTGTGTGTGTGTGTGTGTGTGTGTGTGTGTGTGTGTGTGTGTGTGTGTGTGTGTGTGTGTGTGTGTGTAAAAAACGGTGGGGGCAATATAAAGTCATATTTCCTATTCTTCCCTCAGCTGTTTCTGTTCTGTCTGTCATCTTCAATAATTGGTTAGTTCATGTGCTCCAATGTAATCAGATAAACACGTACGCAATAATGTTGTATTCTGTCGCACAGTTTTTCTGTGCTTGTGAAAAAGCCGCTTGTTAAGCCCTGATTTACTTTCGTTATGCATGTAATTCCATGGACTGACTTTTCGACTTACACAAGACCATGAGTGCTTTGCTCTGCAAGGAAAAAAAAAAGAAAAGAAAAAGCCATCAAACAGATTGTGCAACTTTCTGTCAATCACAAATGTTTGCACTACACCCAGCTCATGCACCGATAGCCGGCTCAGGTGGCCTCTGTAGTCTGAAAAGTGGTTTGAGTTAGACTACCGGACTCGAGATCATGAGATTGTGGCCGACGTCGATGTATACTTTAGGGAGGTACTTCAAACGATTTTTCCCATTTGGCTCGTTCCTGTCTGAGATGGATGTTAATTGGGAGGGTCCCGCCTCTGAAATATTGTTGCAAGGGGTGTTAAACCTAGACACATTTAGGCTCATATTTGCTGTAACTCTCCAGATGACGTGAAAATCGAAGATTTTGTTCTGCGAGACTGTACTCTCAGCACTCGTGGCAAAGATCGTGTAGTAGAGACTCTTTGCTTGTGGTACACACGGCGTGCTAATTTTATTACATCATGGACCCCGGGAGCGCATGAGACAAGCGACGTAATAGTTCGTTCCCAACTTTTGACAGGGGGCTCTCGTGGTCTGGAGGTTAAGATGTTCGCTTTTCATTTAATAGGTCGTGGATTCGAATCCGGATAGCGTCAGGAAAAATTTCGCCTCTAAATTTTTCTCTTTTCAGATCCTTTCCGGCTCTCTAACAATGTTCTGTCTTCTGCTTTCATCTCCATTTTCTACCCCTACCCCCTCATCTCCTTAAACCCGTTCTCTGGGCTCCTGATTATTTCTATAACCTTTCTACTGCTACTCCTCGGCTCCTTCTTACTTGTGTATTTCAGCCACACCCTTAATCTTACATTTATGGTAGGTAAGATCTACACCTAGC